ATACTTTACTTTTCTAACAGATATGCATGCTTTCTCTTTTCAATGTGTGTGTGAGTATATAATTGCGTAGTTGCATGGCAATTCAATATATATATATATATATATATAATAAGCATTAAATATATAAAAACATTAACCATTTTCTCAATTTATTTTCCTTAATTAAGGATCCTAGTCATATAGTTGCACTAATTTTTCTTCCTTTAATGTAATTTGGTTATTTAATAATTTCTTCAAGGCTGCTGCGAATTGTTTAGTGTGCAGATACTGTGGTTAACTGATAGTCATTTTTATAAATTACTTTGCCTAAAAATATATACGGACTAGTAGCTATTAAATTAAAAAAATATATTTTCTTTTTAAGATATATCAATGATTTGACTCAGTCTCTTTTATTATAGTGAGATAGTTAGAAGTCATACATAGATAGAACTAGAGAGAGTGGAACATATTTTGTCATAAAGTTGAAAGTACTTATCCTATATAGTCCCAAGTTTTATTTAAGGAAAAAATCTCAAGGACACACACGCATGTAAATATGTAATTAAGTACCCTATACAAATATATACATATATACATATATATATATATATATATATATATTGATAGAAACAAAAATCATACGAAGGAGATTAGACGAGGGTGACTGATTTGCAATCCACGTAGTGGATAATCATGCTGTATTGTGTAGGACTCTTATCGCACTATTGTTCATTAATCATTGATCACTTTTTGGTCAAATTTGAAGAAGAATGTTTATTTGTCAAGCAAAGCAATTCAGGCTGGATGCAACTTTCGTGCCTGTCTTTTTAAGTCATGGCACTTTGATCCCTCCCATTGTTAATAATATTATATTTAATTTGAATCAACCTATATTACATAATTACTTGTAGTTATTTAAAAAAAAAAAACACACACACACACAAACGAACCAGCAGGCGGGATTGGATTGTGTTTGTGGATGTTGGCCGAAGATGCCAGCACTGTGATATACGTAGAATTGACTACCACTAACCAATGTCGTGTAATTTTGTACAATATTAGGAATGCAGGTTTTGATTTAATTTTTTTCCAAGTCGAGCTTAGCATTTTTTTTGTTAATCATAGATATATATTGATTTCAAGCAGAATTAATCCACGGATTTTACTAGTTCCTCGTTTATTTTCTTTTTCCCATGCAAATTCATATCATCCAATAAATTGGTTAATGACATTTAAAATTATACCTTCTTTTCATGTTAATCTTATTATTTACACCCCTAATTAAATATAATTTTAGAAAAAGCTGTATCAATTAAACTTTAAAAATTTAAAATGTCTTATACTTTTTAATACAGTATTTCAGAAAAAAAAAGTATATTGCAATATTGAATAGAATGAAATGAATATATGTAAATTTTTTAAAAAATATAAATTAAGGATTTACTGCATTTATACTTCTCAATTCTATGAAGGATATTGTCTCCCTTTTGATTTTTGGAAAGCATTAAAAAAAAAAGCACAATTAAGTTCATCATCACTTGGTATCTACAAGGCTAGTCTCTCTCTTTTGTTGGCAAAGCTGAATATGTTAAAGAATTGATATTGGCCTCGACACTCTGTGTAGTTACCCCTTTATAGAGGGAAATACTAAATAAGTAGGGACCATCAATCCATTATGCATGTATAAAGAGATTGAGTAAATAATGCCCACATCATATATTATTTTATAGATGAAAAATCAAATTATATGCTTTGCGCTTGTGTTGGTAATATATATATATATATATCATCACCATCTTCTCTCTGCTTCTATATATGTTCCAGTGAAGGTCACCATCACCAATTTATCATGCACTCAACATCCATCCTCCATTATCTCCAGAGTCAAAAAAACAAACAAATAAAAAGAACAAAGGTCGCGGACATTAATATATGCCCATAAGATCAATTTTCTTTGAATTATTATTAATTAATCATTATTGGTATTCTGCTTTCTTAGCTTATTGAATAGGATATAATTATTGGCTAGTTTGGATATGTACATGCGGGGAAAGCCACAGAAATGACAGATTTTCAAAACCCTTCGCTTTAAGCAATTCAAAGACAAACCAGGCCCACTCCCACGCATGATTGATGTTTTATCACTTTTACTTTTTTTTTTTTTGGTTATTTGACTTAAAAAAAAACAAAGAAATTCCTGAATAGCGAATCTCCTACGTACGTTAATTCTTACACACACGCACACAATTTTTTCTGTGTTTATGGAGATTTTCTTTCTTTCTCTTTTTTAATGAGATACTGATATTATCTTTTGCCAATATATAGTAGAAATTAACCCTCTCTCAAAATGTAGAAGGCAAAGGATAAATTCTTTGATATAATATATAAAGATTCAAGATCAACTTTTAAATCATATGCTTTATATAATAAGAGACATCAAAGCTCCTACGGTTCATACTAAGTTAATAAGTTCGTTAATTACTATAAAATTTCTTGATATATGATAAATTACTCCGCTAATAAAATTAATTGCTTGGAAGAATACAATTGAGATTTTAGTTTTTTTTTTCGTTTGTCTTTTTTCCTTTTACATGTCGATCGATTATGATCATTTTCTCAATGAAATTATCATGAAAGCAATGAACATTGTTAATGGTTAACATTTGCGAGAGTTCTTACGATGAGAATTTCCTTTCCAATAAACATATATGTCAAATTATTCGCATTTGATTATATAGGGAGTATATCAAGATAAATGCAAATAAGATAAGTATTGTCTGATCTGAATGCATACAATTGGCGCAAGAGGAATAAAAGTGTAGGGTAGTGTAAAAGAGATGTTTGTTATTTACCTTGACGCCAGAATGGAATTAAGTTGATGGTGGCCTTAATAAACAATTAATTAGTGCATAAAAAAGTTTGGTTTGAAGAAAACAGTATAAATATGTAGCTGGTCACAAACAGATATTTCATCCACTAAACATATTCAATTATATATATACACATATAATGCCAATTGCCAAACATTCTTTTCATATATAGTTGGGTCCCCAAAATTCACTTGTAGGATGATGCCATCTCCCAACACACCATTGACAAGTTAATAATTAACACTGACCAATTTATGAGTTTGATGGTTGTCCCAAAATATCCATAATTTTTAAATACACCCTCCGTCTCAAATTATAGAATAATTTTATAAGAATTTCTCCATCTCAAAATATAAGACACTTTGAGTGGATTAATGTATCAATAAATTTATCAATTTTAATATTACCCTTTCTCTCTCTCTATAATTAATTTTCATTATTTCTCTTTTCAATATATTAAATGATGAGTATTTTTAAAAGTTTATATTTTTATTTTGGAAAAATAAAATTGTTAAATGTATTTAATGAGATTTATTGGTATGTAAAATTTTATCTAAAAGTGTTTTATAATTTGAAACTGAGGGAGTACTTTTTAAATTATAATTAAATTATCCACGCTTAACTTCTATTTTTAAATCTATGTAGATATATTTTCCAAAAATAAAATAAATTGTCTACAATTTTTATATATTTTTAAAAATTTAAATGAACTTTAAATTTTGTCATGTTTTAATTTGACAAATGTACTATAAAAATTTGCCAACAATTTTATTTAAATTAAGAAATTCAGTTTAAATTAATTAATGTTAGTAAAATTTTAAAATTACCTTCAGCGTAATTCATTGATGCTAGAAGGCTATTTGGGGGGGGGGGGAGAAGGCTATTTAATTAGTCAGAAGATTGTTTATTTAATTGGAGAATATCATATTTAAGAAAATTTAGAAAAAATGTAAATGTTTTTTGTTGTTGTTGTGCAATAATCATATTTAATATACAGTTGGGTGTTAAATATGGACATCTAGTGAAAGTTCAAACTTTTGTTTGAATTTAAAAGCAAATATTTGGTGCAAAAATAATAGTTTTTGCAATATTCTATCTAGGATTAATGAGTAAATCAGATCTTGAATTATTGTTCAAAAATCGCTTTGGACTCTAAACTTTTAAAATATACAAAATAAATCCTAAATTTTTAAATTTATAGTAAAATAAATCTTAACCATTAACTTTTTTAACACCGTTACCATCCACGTGGGTAATGTAATGGTCAAGGTTAAATTTGTAGGAAAATAAATCCTAAACAGTACCTATGTGAACGGAAATAGTGTTAGAAAATTAACAGTCAGAGTTTATTTTGCGATAAATTTAAAAGTTTAGAGTTTTTTTTTTTACATATTTTAAGAGTTTAGGATTCAGGACAATTTTTGAGCAATAGTTTAGGTTCTATTTACTCATTAACCCTTCTATCTAACCCTTATTTGCAAAAGAAGATTCCATACATGTGTTTCACATACACTCACATGACTCACACCACGCAACAATCCCACACACAAGAGGTTTTTTTTTTCTCCCTTTAACTATATGGAGGTTTTATTTTTTAACCTACAAAATGTATGATCATAAGGATGGATGTCACTAGACCAAATATTCGTTGAGAGGAATGAAAACCTCAATGAAGGGGGCCATTATTTATAGTAATTTGGATATTACATGAATGAAGCCCCGGAGTCTCTCTCTCTCTCCTTGGAACATTATCGTTTCAATGACTTTTTAAAATCTGCTCATTGTTTAGAAAATTCGGTTCCAAGAATTTTGCCTTATGCATTGAAAAAAAAGCAAAATAAGTAAACACACTCAGCAAATAACAAATAGATATTCTCCACAAAAATAATATATTTCAGAGTGAAAAATTTATACATGTTATTTTAAATAATTAAAATCATCTTAATATCCCTGTTTCATCTGTACAATCAAATGTAATGACCGAACCCAGTCCTAATGCCACTTACAGGCCGCCTGTTTCAGTCCTTTCTTCAGTCACGCGACGCTAACCCCGGGTCCAAATTCGTATACAGCACAAGATCCAGTTCGCGAGGCGCCGTAAGCAGAGTCACGGACACGAGACATGCAAACGGTGTCGTTCTGATTCTTGGGGCGGCCTCCATCTGAACTCTTCCCCCCCCCCGAAGAAAATTGATTCCAGACCCAACTCTGAAACCTAACTAGCCTTTGATCCAATCCAGAAGAAATCCTAATGAATTAACTCCTTGATTCATGTGTTGTCTCTTGATTCCGATAAACTTCATATAATTTAGAGTGCAATGGATGTAAAAGCATTGGCAAAATCAAAGAGAGCACATTCTCAGCATCATTGTAAGAGGCCTCATGGCAGCCATCAGAATCAGAAGCTTAAACCCTCTTCATCAGGTGGCTCAAATGATGCTGCAACAACTGCTAACAAGTCATTGGGTAAGCAATTGAGCGAGAAAGCCCATCGCTCTAAGGGTTCGCCAGCTCTCCCCTCGAATTGGGACCGTTATGATGATGAAGATTTGGACGCGGAATCGGAAGGGCTCTCTCTTGACAGTTCCAGTAAAACTTCTGATATTATTTTGCCTAAAAGTAAAGGGGCGGATTATTGCCATCTGCTTGCTGAGGCCCAGTCTCGAGAAAATACCAGTTTGGATGGCGTTACATCTTTGGATGACGTTCTTTCTGGTATGTCTTTTACTTCATGACTCAGATACTCAGCAATGGGAATCAGATGCCGTTTTGTTGCCTCTGTTGGACCATTGTTCACTGTCACCTCTCACGTCTTTTTAGACATTGCCTTCCTATTAGCGGCATTATATTTGATATCTCTGTTTATTTCATCTGTAGAGCATTGCCAGAATGTTCTTTGGATTTTGTTTCATCTTCAAGTAATATTTTCTTGCAGGGGAGTTCAACGAGGGCTTAAGTGCTATGCTTGCAGTCAGAGGAGAGGGCATTCTTTCATGGTTTGGGGATGATAATTTTGTTGTAGAGGATAAGACAAGTGGAACTCACGAGGTAACTGGACATGTTCAAAGATGAACATAATAAGAATGAAATTTTTGAGTAATTCATTCTCAATGTAAAATAGACTGCTCTCGTCATCAAGTTTTTAAGGTTTTATTAAAAAATTTATGAATTTTTGGTGTAGTTTTTGTTAGTTTTCATTAGTAACATCATCGGGAGTTAGTTAAACAATCCCAGTAATCCCTTTTAGAATGAGAAGGCCATAGATCAGACGTTTTGATGCTTTTTGACTTGAGTGTTGCACCCTGCGTTTCGTTCATTTTAATTTTAGACTTACCGTAGCGCCTGAAAGTTAAAGGCACTAGAAAAGCAGTTCCAGAATAAAGTGTGCTAAGATAGGACGGAAGCTATAAAATATGCTGTATAAATAGAAAATAAACAAGTGTGAACAATTGTAATAAGATTTGACATGCAAGTTAACTTCTCTAGCTCAAGTGCTCAACCATTTCATAAAACAGTGCTCTTTGGAGGCCAAGTCTTAAAACTACTTTTGTTGTTTTAAAGCGAATGACTGACAACCTAAATGATAATCTTTTCAAGTGGAAAACAACTTTTCCCTATTACTTAGAGTTATTGAACTGGGACTTAGGGTTTCCCCTCTCCTATGTGCGCATGATTATCTTTTGCTGCTGCTTGTATGAACGCCCCTAATCTCAGTGCCTATAGGCGCTTGAAATGAGTGCCATTGACTGCACTCATTCATTATATTTCAAGCTCCAGTCTTTCACATCTGGTTTGACCTAGCAGCTTCTCTTTCAATAGGGTGATTATCATTGTCACAAGTCTTCATATTGATGCTAATTTGTGTTTCATTCGTTTGTATCATTTATTGTCCCTTTGAATGCAATAAAGATGCAAGTCATGTTTATGTTTCCATCCTGTGCTTATTGGATTTTCAAAATTATGGAGGTAACTTTTATGGGAATCTCTTTCTGCTCAGTTCTTTACGAATTCAATGTTTTAAATTGTTTGAGTGGATGTGTGAATTGTTAGACTTGTAGCACCAGGTAGTGTTTGTTAGTGAGGTCTCTATTTAAGAATTGCAGTCTAGGCAATTGACACGAAGATCAGGGGTTTTTTAAGATCCAGCTTCCTGATCTTTGTGAATTTATGATCAGAGTGTCTTTTTGTTTCTGTGTGTCTGTTTACTCCTCCTTTTGGCCTGACTTATCTTCAGATTCAACTGCTGGAGCATCCATAAGCCAAATTGTTATATTTGCTTCAATTTTTTGTAACATGAAGCACAAGGCAGCATCGGTGATGCTATTAAGGAAATTTTTACTTTTGAGTACACATAGCCAGCTCGGGATAGGTTCATTGGGGCATTCAGATGCCATTTTTTAGGGGGAAAAATAAATTGAGGAATAATGAATAGGTTCTGCCTACATAAGATTATAATTTGGCGTTTAGCTTTGCCATGTTAATCGAATTATAGTTATACTCGTTATGCAGCACTTTGTCATCTTTGATTCTGAGTTCATTTTCTGCAAATTGTTGCCTTACTTTTCCTTGTTACCTTATTTGATCAAGTTTCTGTTGTCCTGCAGGCATCATTTCTTTCCTTAAACCTGCACGCTCTAGCAGAAAATCTTGCCAAAGTTGACTTATCAAAGAGACTTTTCATTGAGCCTGACTTGCTACCCCCTGAGCTGGTAGGGTTAGTCTCAGATTTGAACTTAAAAAACTTCATGGGAGACCGTTTCTTTTCAAATCTCAGAACATTACTGTTCAATCACATTTATAATGGAACTTTACATCCAAAAACTTACTCAATTTTTGGTAACATTGTTTGCTGCTGAAAGTAACCAACATAGATTTTCACAAGGACCACTTAAACTGTCATTCATGTTGGATACGAGTGATACATGGTTTGTAAACTTCATATAAGGTTGTTTTGGTTTGTTTCAGTTTGCCGAAGGCTCTACAGCTAGCAGTGACAAACTACCTCGTAAACTGAAAACTACAGAGCCAGCTGAAGAATCTATTCTAGATGATTTTGCGGCAGATGATAAGATTGTTGATCAGTTTACATCATCTGGGTCCCGTGATCGCAACCCAGCTGCTTCAACCCTGCCATCAACCGACGCGATTGTTGTACCTGGAAATTATGTTGAATGTGGGCAGATTCACAGTTCAGGCCAAAATAGAGTACTTTATCCCATTTCGGAAGTTAACTTATCTTCCACCGAAAATCCTACAAGCAAACTCTCGACGTTTGAAGTTGCTGATGCTGAAGATGAATTAGATATGCTTCTTGATTCAGTTAGTGAGATCAAGATTATGGACTCTCCTGCCTTTACGTCCAACTCCTCTTTTCCTGCTTCTGGAGGAATCTCTGCTCTGGGCTCACAGATTCTTAATAAAGAACCAGATTCATCCAAAACCATGCCAATTACTGCCAGTCTCGATGATGAACTTGATGACTTGTTGGAGGCAACATCGAAAGTGATGGAGCCAAACGCTTCATTACAGCCACTTGAAGAAAAGCCTGTCCTTCATGGTACACAATCTTCTTCTTCACATTCTAGAAGCAACGCTAAAACGTTAGAGGAATTAGAATCATGGTTAGATACAATTTGAGCGAGGTTGCCTTTTCCCGCGAGAGTTTAATGTAGATCCATCGAGTTTTGAAGTTGTTACAGCGTGGATGAAATTCTTGATGAACATGGAAAATGACCTTCTGTCATCTTCAGCTGGAAGTGTGGATCCTCATAATTGCCCATTGATTGTATATGTGACTCTATAATCATAGTATAAAGAATTAATTCCTCGTTGCTTTTAGCTCCATTGATGGCTGTTATAGTTGTTCTTGAATGAATTATGCCATTTAATACTAAAATCTTGATGGTGAAATTTACCAACATCTCATGAGTGCTATGAGATCATCGTTTCGCTTTCCATACCTGCCTTGGTGTCCTTGGCTTGGCTGATGCGTCTGAGATTTTGTCATCTAAAGAAAGAGCGGGGGGAAATCGAAAAACAATGTGCAAGGTTTTCAATGATTGTAATCATGACGAAATAGAACTTCTGTACGAGGCTAGTGGAAATTTAGATTGCCATTGCTTTGCCCAAATTTGTTTGGATATAACGTTCATATTTTAAGACATTGCTCCTATGTTTTTAATTTTTATTTTTTAAATTCTTGTTTACTAATATCCTATTCAACTCTTGCTACATGTGGGTAGGTTTGCTTTTTATATTCACGCTTGTGTGATGATTATGTTGATTTTTGTATTTTAATTAAATAAATAGTTTATTTCTTCTATTATTTCTTCTAAACTTAATTTTTTGATTTAGTTTTCACGTCTTAAATATATTAATTCAACCCATAAAAATAAATTAGAGTGGACTAAACGAGTACTTTTATATGGAGATTGGAGCTGAATGAGCTGTATTGTTTGTGGCTTACAAGCATCATAACTTCCAATGAATTTTATAGGTATATTGATGATTCATTTATACTTCATGTATTATTTCTTCTGTTTAAAAATATAAAATATTTTTTTGATAAGTTGTATGTTTAAAAATATTTTTAAATCTTTTAAAGTATAATATTGCTTTTTATTAAAAAAAGCCCCATTGATAATGACTTTATATTTATTATAGAATGTTTAATAGGGATAAATATAAAAAAATAGGTTAATTTAAAAGTAGATAATTATTTTATTGAGGATAATTCAATTAAAAATATTTTATATTTTTGAATTGTTAGGTTCTTGTGCCTTCTTAGTGTATGAAATATTGTAGTAAATTTTTAGTCAACCTCCGTGACTTCAAGCACAGCCAAATTGCATTTCATATTTTATTTATATTTTTATAGTTTTTATTTTTAATTGCATATTGGTGTTTTCTTATTGAGGTCAATTCTATTCAGTATCTTAATTTATCATGGCGAAAGGGTTTTTTTTTTTTTTTTGTTAAACCCAATCTCTGTTGGCATTTATTTTTGATTCTAGCGCCTTATATTAATCAAATTAAATTAAGAAATGGTGACTAAATCAGAACGTTTAGATAACAACTCCACTAATTAATTACAAATTTGTAAACTGAAACAGCTATATTAAAATTATAAGCAAAGTCAAGAAAATTGGTAAAAGTTAACTCTGCATTTTTTAATCTTTATGACCTGTCCTCCACAGAGAGGAAAACCACAGAGAAAACTAAAATGACAAGTCAAAGCCACAAAGCGCCTGCATCTTTCAGGATGGGAACCAATTCACCGGAGATATGCGTGGCCATGAGCCGATCTAACCCTCCGAACAACTTGCCACCGATAAACACCGCCGGGAACTGCACCTTCCCCTGTTCCCGATCACTAGTCTCTTGGAGCTCCGTAACAACACCCACCTCATCTTCCTCGTCCACCTCATACACCGCCGGATTCACGCCCAGACCAAGAAGCAAGCGCTTGACGACGTGGCTCATACAGCATCCACGCCTCGCGAACACTATCACCGCGTTCTCCGACACCATGTTCTTCACCATTCCCTCTGAACTTCCTCTGTTCAGTGCAGAAACAGAGGACGATGTGCTGGTCGGGTTGAAATGGGAATGGTGGGGAAGAAGGGGTCGCCATGACGACCGGCAAGGAATTGCTTGTTGCATACCTGTGTAAGAAAGCCTCACAGAGAGAGAGAGAGAGAGAGAGAGAGAGAGAAGGTGGGGTTGGGTTGTGGAGATGAATGGGGAAGACGAAGAAGGTATAAATGGAGGGTGAGATATGACGATGATGATGCGAGTTGAATGAGTCTCTGAGGGATACGTCAACGCTAATTACGCAATTTTTTCTCAAGTAGGCAGATAGCCAGATATTACGCGGCCTTCTTTCGTCATCATGTTCCCTCACGACGTCATTCCTTCTGTCCTTTTCCTCCACCTCATCACAGTTTTTCTACGTGCTTTTTCATTTTTTATTAAACATCACTGACAATTACATCATAATTTATTTTTTAAAAAAAATCCACTTGAAAGCTACATAATTGACAATTTCTTTCTTTTTTTTTTTTTTGGACTTAAAAAAAAATCACCAAAACAATTTCTTTGGTGGGTTCTTATTTGGACACCGAACCGCTGGCTCCGGTCTATTATTGTCCGTGCGTGCGCGTTTCGGGCCGAATTCACGGGACCCGGATCCCCTGATGTAGAGTCTGTCCTGCCTCCCTCCTGATATGCTTTTTTCTCTCTGAGAAAATATATAATCTAAGAAATTGGTTGGGTGCGTGAATAGTAAACTAGGAATAGAAGGAAATGACGAAGAGGCAGCTGGAGGGATCTTGCATAGAGGATCCCACTTGGAATTCACGCTACTTCAAAACTTTGTTTGTGACTTCATGTTATTGTTGTTTTCCATTTTTAGTCAATGTGCTAATTATTCATGATTAGTATTTAGTGTCTACACACCCTACATGTATATACTTTAATAGTTTAATCCTTATATGGATTTTTATCTTTAACATAACACACTTGGTAAGATATTAATTATATTTTAGAGATAACTTAATACAAATTAAAAATTTTTATTTAAATATGAATAAAATTTAAAACTTTTTATATTTTTAAACAAAGTTAATGACTTGATTATCTTTTATTAATTTTAGCAAAAATAGTTAAAAGTATTTTAGAACAGATAATACAAGGAATATTATCATATTCATTATTTGCGACGTGAGTTGTACTAACCAGCAGCAACTGGTAACTCCCAATGGCCGGTTCGGGTATTTTCACATGGAGATGGAGGTTCATAGTAGTTAGGTTATGAAATATGGATCATATTTATAATTAAAGGAGCTGGTTCAGTGAAGATTGATTTTTTTTTTTTTAAATTACGTAGAGATGTAATTTTAGAGTGAAGATTGATGTGATGGCAATATGATGGTGATCAGCAAACAAAGAGGCACATGGGATGAGAGAGTGGAGTCACAGGCGTGAATGAAGCCAAGGCGAGCAAGACGGAGGAAGATTCGTTTTCGTTGGGGACATCATGGCTGTTCAGGAGACTTGTTTGATGGGCCGACACGTGGCAGAGATAATGCTGAACGAGGTGGACATGCCGTCAGCGAGTTGTCGTCGACCCACCCGGCCGCTGTCCGTTAGAGCCCACGTAGCCAGCAATGCATGGGTGGGTCCTACGTTACCGGCCGCGGAAGGTTCCTCGTAGGTACCGCCTCGCCGGATGCATCCCAGGATGAAGATGACGCCACTGCCACCACGTGATCCCACTTTACAACTGTTTCACAAAAGTACCATCATTTACGAGGGTTGAACAAAAATTAAATAAGAGCATTTAGGGACGGAATACTACTTACTAACCCTACGATTTAGTCGTTTATGAATTTTTAATTCTTCTGTGTGAGCGTGTATGGAAGTTGTGACTTTTATGAGAGCAACTAAATCTTCTCAACAACCATGTAATTTTTATTTGCTTCAAAAATTACAAGACTTCTTTAAAGTTGAAAGCTCAATTTCTCAAACAACTCAATAATTTTCCATGCAAAACTTGAGATAATTGTATTTTCCAAATATTTATATTACTGTTCCATGAACACCTTTTACAATGAACCCTTTGAGCCTATAATAAGGATAAATCCAAATTTACCAATCCAATTTGCAACAGAGTGGGCAATTATTCAGGAACAAGAATTCATATAGCCCCTACCGAAGGGTTCAGCGAGAAGCAAGAATCGTTCATTTAAAACACATTCTGGTGCAATTATATCCTCAAAGCAAATTGGAGAAATATAATTCAAAAAAAAAATGGTAACAAAATTAGCTGAATCCCTTTCATTTTGTGTGCGCTTAACATAAAAATATCAATCAATCCCTCTGCCAAAGGTTCCGAAAGGCTAAATTCAGTCAAACACATTCCACGTTCTCGAATACTTTCATTTCAGTCATCGCATTCTAAGAATGGCCGACCAAGTCATTTTTTGACTGGATCCAAATTCATCTCTTGAAGATTCAGCAACAGATCATCTGAATTGAGGTAAACCTTGTTTGCTGCATTTGATATTGTTTGAGCAATTTCTCTCGCAGCTTCTATCTTCCTCAATGTGATAAAAGCTGGATTATTGGCAATGGCTTGACCAATCAGTTGAGCACTCTTTGCTTCACCCTGGAGAATAGAAAAAATGCACAGTTAAGAGGTTGACATGCAATGTCGATCAAGTTCTTACCAAGATTTTTCCTATGTGCGCAAGCTACATTGGAAAAACAAAAGTTAATGCAGAGAAAATTATATGAGTAGCTGTATCTTCATGGAACTTGGAAATTCTTCTCACCTGTGCTCTAATTATAGCACTTCTTTTGTCTTGCTCAGCCTTTTCCACAACAAATTTAGCTCTCTCTGCTTCTTGTGCAGCCACCTGCTTGGCTTCAATAGCTGCTGTAAATTCTTTGCCAAAGGTCAGGCTGGTAATTGAAACATCATCTAGGGCGACATTGAAGTAGGATGCCCTCTCAGTCAGGATCTTCCGAATTTCCCTACTAACAGTCTGCAAGAAACAAGTTCAGTCAATTTTTTTTTTTTTAACCTCCTGCATTAGAAACAACTAAAATTAACTTACTAACTAACATCACGTGAACTCGCAAAGAACTAGAAAAGACACCAAAAGTGCGTAACAAGCAGGAATACTTACCTAGTTCTGGCTACAAGTGTCTCCAACATGATATAAGAATATAAATCATATAATGATAAATGAGAAATAAAGAATAAAATTCACAAAAATACTTCAACCACAAGTCACTTGCTCTTGCTATTTGGCTTATTATTACAGAAGAAACAAATTATCAATCACATTTTGATGCTGCCAAGAAAGAAAACAGACAACTGAATAACCAACAACCTTTATTGATCAACTAACAATTTGAGTTGTGGTGCAAATACGCTTCGCTTCTTACCTCTCTCTGTGTAATAAGCTGGCTGGCATTGTATTGTGCAACAACAGCTTTCAAAGTTTCATGAATGATTGAAGGCAAGACCCTCTCATTAAAATTCTCACCAAGTGTTCGATAAATTGTAGGAAGTTGATCAGGCAAAGGACGAGTAAGAACACGAAGCCCAATTTTCACCTGCATATCAAAATTGCAACCATAGTTACAAGCAAATAAATCTTTCTAAAAAATTGTAAAAGAAATCATCAAATGACAAAGAACCCTCCCAAATTACAATATAAAATCATCATAATACAACACAGAAGTGCGTGGTGACAGAGTTTGTTTTCAACGATGACACCTTAGAGAAATTTTCAACAAGAACAGGATTTAACGTAGTATTGAAGAAATAATGTAATTCATGATTCAAATTGCATGATTTGACCCAAGTGAAATATATAAGACATTGCAACTATGTCAATAATCACATTCACTTGTTCTTTCCTTTTTTTTAATTGAGAAAGAAAAAGGATAAATTGGTGCCTTGGGTCCCAAAAGTAAGGGTATTAAACTTCAACCACTCAAACATAACGCAAAGTACATTTTGTCACCATACCTAGAGACATCCACTAGCTATGTGCTATGACCATAACAAAGTTCTGTACAGATCTATAGTCATGAAGAACCTGTCCTGCGCTTTGAAGTGCCTGCACTACCATAGGTAATCTGTACACTTGTGATGTTGTAGCATCAAATATCTTAAAGGGTAGGGTGAGAGACATAGGAATTGTTGGGCTCAAAACTCTGCCATCTGGTGAGTCAAAATTAATTTTCGACTACTTTTAACTACTTTAGGTTGTAGAATCCTTGGTGAAGTTCCATTTGTGATACAAATTATGTTGTAATGGGGTTACAGTATTCTGTGAGTATTTTCTTCAATGTCATGCTTGTATATGCATATTTTTCGAATACCAGACAGAAAAAACATAGAAAGAGATATCCATATTCTCAAATATAAATAAATGATGAAAATTTCATTATGGCATGCAAGCATCCATAAAAATTACCATCTGGAGATCGTGACTTCCTGTAGTACTTTCAACTAGATGCGGCCGTGCTCTGACATCATATATTACTGGCCTTTCAAACCATGGAATAATGAAGTGTGTTCCTTCAGGATAAACCTGAATGTCAAAGAACATTTTGATATCGTCAAAGAGAACAAAACATGCATGTTGTGGACAATCTTATCCATGACCAAACTTAAACGAAATCAAAGGGAAAGATAAATTGCTCCATTGAAACATGCCAAATAATCAAATCACAGTGACAATACAAGATTTAAAGAACACAGAATGATATCACAATCACAACCATCAGCAGCATCCTATGGCTGCATATGTCCTGCAGGCTATCTTCGAAGCCACAGACACACTGTTAATAATATGCATTATGGTTATTCAGATTTAGCTGTGATAACATCAGATTTCATTGTGTTGAAAAGCATTGGGTGTAAATTAAATTATTAATTTACAATATAATGCCCAAATTAACAATTTAACATTGGATGATAATTCGCAAAACACTTGACGGATTTTCTATGGAATAATAACTTATAAACATGCCAAACAATGACCTTGTCCTTGACACCAACAACGCGGTTGAAAACAATAGCTCGATGACCTCCCTCAACATTGTAAAGACTGTTGGAAACTGCATACAAGCCGAGACCACCAACAATTCCCAATTTAATGAGTGCGGAGGCTGCACCACCCCCTGGAATGTTTGGAACCTTCATGTTCTTCAAATTCATTTTCTTACCTGAAGAAAAATTTATAAACGGAGAAGTCAGTTCAACTTCACAGACTACATTTCAACATTAATCAGGATTCAAATACTGGAAATATGCAAAAAGGCAAATAAGAAATTATAAAGAATAGAATACAAGAACACAGCTGGAAAAATACTAACAAGAGAAACTTTCAGAAATTTACCAACTTAGTATACAAAAATCGCCCAACAATTTCTTGTTCCGGACATTTCTTTCAGATAAGAGAAGACAGATCGGGAAGGGGGGAAAACAAAGGGAAATGGAAAACGCCAGTTCGTGTGCAGAGTTTCTCGGCAACAACGAAGAAACAGAAATGAAAGATCTTACAGGCCAACAAGAAAAGCCCCACCCAATTTACGAAAGAAGCCGGCAATGTTCGATTAATTTTCAGGAATTTCTCTAGAGTCAAGCAGCATAAAAGTTAATGGTTAAGAAGAAAGGCATGGAAATCGCAGAGAAGAATTGATACCTTCCAATAGCCCTCTGGATTATCTGACGACGAATCTCTGAGAAAAGCTTCCAGCGAAGCCCTCGTCGTTCTTGTAGGGTTTAAGTCCTGAACAAGCAAGGCAAAGAGGGTTTAGGAGGCGAGGGTAGGAGAGTCACGGGGGCCAGGTGGCGTGCAGCCCATTATAGCCCAGTCGCTCCTTCCTAGGCAGTTGACACTTCTAGTACTAACCTATTATTTAAAAAACGGTGATAAAATAAGTTTTTGAAGATTACTAACAATGGTAATAGATTAACCTACATGTATTTTAAAAATTTTATAATATAGAAAAATTTTAATAATAATTTTGTAACGAGGAAAACTTAACTATTTGAGATGAAGTACTTTTTTACCATCTCTAACTTATCTGTAAATTTAAAATACACTTGTTCTAATTTTATTGAAAAATTTATTTACTAATTACATAATTGTTCTAATTTTTAAATTTTAAATAAAAAATATAAGTATAAATGGAAGTGGGGGCAATGGTATATTTGTAATATGGTGATGGATCTTTTGAAGGAGGCAATGTGTAAGAACTAGAAGCGCCATGAATCATAAGGCATTAGGATATTTTAGTAGATAGCTCAGGCCCTGCTTATGTTAGCATTTTGGTCACTTGCATTTTTGCAAACTGCTAGATTACATTTCTGGTGTCAAGAAGCACCCTGGTAATTATACCATTATCCGGGTTTGATATTGAATTTTTAAAAGTATTAATAACACATCTATATTTATATATATATGTATATTTTAATTAAATTTCTATAATAAATTTTCTAAAAATTCTTACACAATAATTACATGCACATGGTGTTAATAATTAGCTATTAAGTGCATCATTTTAGTGACAGATCTGAAAAGTTCTATGAAATTCCATTAATATATTCACATTAAATTTGTGAATAGAGTAATTCTAATTTATGAAAGTAAAACAATGCAAAGACACACCATGAATGATTTCCATTTTCTTCTTTGCTATCATCTTAAGTCCATAAGAAAAGTACAATAAGTATGTGGAGTATCATTTTTTTTTTTGGGGGGGATCCAATGTGGCATCATCAAAGCTTGCAAAAACAGAAACAATAAATTAAATACAAAGACCAACGATCGGCGTAGACGTACATGTGTCATGGCCCCCAAAATGGCCCCTTTTTAAAAAATCACCCACGAATGAAATGGGAGAACTTATCATACGAAAAAAGAAAAAAAAAGAGGGAGAAGAGAACAGAATAAATCGAGGTAGAAAATCAAAACAAAAGATTCTCATGGAAAAAAAGAACACAAGTTCCCATCTTCATCGTCATTGCTTTCTGCTCAAAACAGGGCTCCCATGCAAATCAACGCAAGCCCAACGGCCGAGCCGAAGCCCAGATTCCTTCCACTAGCACCATTCCGATCCTCCGACGAAGCGGAAGGCGACGACGGAGCCGAACCATCGTCACTGCTTTTGCTCTTGGTCGCTGGAGTCTTAGAGGCCTTGGGAGATGAAGCCGGAGCCGGAGAGTCTCCGAAAAGCTCCTCGGGGAGCAACACCTGGTCGACCTGGTAAACCGCAAGAGGGAAACTCTGCCTCAAGGCGTTATGAATAGGTGACTCCACCACTCCGGTGGACACATTGACCTGGTTCCCTTGGCCGGTGAAGTTCAACCCCCAGTCGGAGGCTTGGGTCCTGACGGGATTGCTAACGGTGAGAAGGTCATTCAGGTTATAGTACTTGGGTGTAACGTGGTAGAGCATGAGCTTCACCTTCTGATCGTCCGTGAGGTCATTGATGACGCCGGACTTGAGGTTCTGGAAGGCGTTGTCGGTGGGAGCGAAGACGGTGAAGCCCTCGGAGGTTGAGTTGAGCTGTGATTGGAGTTGTTGCATCTGTTGAGTCTGAGTGAGAAGGCGGATGAGGGTGGTATATTGGCCGCCTTTGTCCAGAATGCCGGTGAGGTTAAGGGCGCCGGCCGGAGCTGGCGCCGGGGCAGATTGGGCCCGTGCCTGGGGAACGAGGAGGAGGAAGAGACTGGGAGTGAGGGTAAGAAGAATGAGTGCAAGAGAGGAGGCCATGTTGGTGATAGAAGAAGAAGTCATAGTTATGTGAAGTGGTGGTGCGAGGTGATGACGGTGGCTTTTTATTCGGATTACAGGTTAGTTGAGGACTGTGCTGGCATGAGCTGTCTCATGCCTCGCGTTTCATTGGATTCAAGAAAAAAACAAATCTTTTCGTGACAGAAAGGAAAAATACAGGTTAACAAATTAAGGCTATGCAATATATATAGATTTATAATGCCATGATGGCCCGTGCAGATTTTAGCTTTTGAAGGAGACATATAACATCAGGTGGATGACTGTGACTGGAATGAAACTTTACGTGATGATAGGAAGTAAGTTAAGTGAAGGATTAAGAAACTGAATATTTGAAAATATGTAGTGTGGTGCTTTGCTGTAATATGCAGAGCTATGGCAGATCAAGTCAAACCTTCCACAATTGATTTACGTTGACATATTAATTCTCATTACAGAAAAATTTTTTTTTCCTTTGTAGTTGATAACTTGTGATATGAACCCAAGAGCGTAATTGAGTAATTTTATTAGTTAAGAGATAAGTTGAGAAAAGAATTATTATGATATTATTAGAGGCATCCCAAGTCCAACTAATAATTGTGCAGTGAGCATGATTTGGTGTATTGTTAATGTCAAGTTGGGAGTTTGGACAAAAAGCAAAGGTACAAAATCTTGGTATGGCAGGCTGGCATATGTTGTGTACCATGTGGGATAATGCATGTTACCCGCTCAATAATTAATTTCTCCGTAATTAACTATTAGTAGACCTGTCTGATTCAAGTGTTGAAAATTATACTAAAATACAAGACAGTGGGCATCCACTTGATAATAATACATATACAAGACTTTTGAATTTTCACGATTCTTAATACATATATTTTTTAAGATCAACTGAAATTGTACATGTCAAGCTAGTGAACATGCTGCTAAATTCAGGCTTAGTTAATACACTGGTTACAAAAAAAATTTATCAGTTTGACAATCCCTTACAACATGAATTGAGTTTTCAGCCTCACCACAACCAAAAAGGCAGTTACTATGCATCTTCAGAAATACCTCTCTTCATTCTGAGCTACATCCTACATTGTGTGTGTGGCTTGTCTTTTGCATGTATATGATGTATAAAACTTTTACCATCAAATATGGTGGCGGTATATTCTCATAAGTTGGAAGAAATTAAACTTTCATGAAAATTGGTAGATGTATGTTAAAACTGAAGACACATTCACATATCCCAAAATCAACTTCTCTGGAAGAGAATAAGCACAATCTCTGTCACTGTTCAATATATACCGCAAGCCATTATTCAGAGGAAAGAGTGTGGAGGACCATTTGTAAAGTTGCTGAGAATAATCAAGAACTGCATGCTGTATTTGTTTCCCTAATGCAAAGCATGCATGCATGATCTATTTGACCAACCACCAATATAACAAGAAGAATGTTATTCTTTTATGTTCATTATTATTATAACAAGATTAATATCATACAGGGATGGAGTCAAGATTTAAGTATGAGAGGAATCGTGATTAAAAATCACATAACAAGGTTTTCAGCTTGATTTTGGCAAAGTTAGAGATGTATAATACATATATTTAAAGCAGCAAATTAAGAACTCAGGGTCTGTCTCCTGCCGGTTCCTCTTTCCCCTGCCACTGCAAACATACATTCACTGAACTAAAATTCACTTTCAGAGGTAGCATCTTTACAGAGTGTTGCTCTAAGGAAGGTCCTTTTTTTTCTCTTAACATAAATAATTATATGTTTAAATATAATAATTATCTTTTTCTATCGTTATATGTGGGCAGAAGAAGTAGCGAGTCCTATAGATGTCACAAAGTTTAAGAAAATGAGATGTATGCTTTGCATACCATAAGTATTTTTTTTTTTTTAATACTAAGACAAGAGATGCTAAAGCAAAAAGTAAAAGAAAAGGTCACAAGGCTAAAACAGTACTTCTCCGCCTTTAAACATAAAAGCCCATTTTTTTTTAATAATAAACAAAATTACAAATTTCAAGCACTAATAGTTTGACTTTTGGATATTGTATACATAATATGCAAAGCATAAAAAATTATTTCTAACTCCATTCACCCTTTAATTCTTTCATAGTGTCCAAAACAACCCAAACTGAAGTATATTACGTTTGAAAGTGGCAAAGGAAATAGTTAAGCCGAGTAAATGTAGGAACTATTTTTAATACCCACCATATAGATGAGTATTGACAGCTTATTATTTTTAGATCATTCAAATATAATTTGGATGGTTTAAATTTATAATGTTTTACTTTTATTTTTTTAAACAAATATTGTAATAAATACATAATCTTAAATAAAAACAATCTTTTAACTGTCGTTTAAAAAATATTTAAAAATATCATTTAAAAAATTATAAATTTAGATCATAAAAATTAAATTTAAATAATTTAGAGACGATGGGTGTTCATTTGTATGATGAACATTGAAAGAAGATAATTTTTGTGATCATATGCATTATAATTAGAAACTAGTTCAACAAATGTATTTTAAAATTTTAAGTAGCTAGTAAATATTTTTTGTGATTATATACATTATACTTTGAAAAGGAAAAAAAATAAAACAGAAAAAAAGAAGTGGGTTTTTACAAAGAAAAATGTAAAAGAAAAGGTCACGAGGCTAAAACATTATTGCTCCGTTTTTTAACACCTAGTTTTTTTTTTATTATAAACAAAATTGCAAATTTCAAGTCACTAATAGTTTGACTTTTGGATGTTTTACACATGATACGCAAAGCATAAAAATTATTTTTAGCCCCATTCACACTATAATTATTTTACATTTAGCATCCGAGACAACGCAAATCGAAGTAAATTGTGTTTGAAAGTGACAAAATAAATAGTTAAGTCGAGTAAATATAAAAATTAATTTTGATACTTATCATATAGATGAGTACTAAAAACTTATTACTCTTGAACCATTCAAATATAATTTGAATGATTTAGATTTATAAATTTTTATTTTTATTTTTTTAAAATATTTTAATAGATACATAATCTTAAATCAACACAATCTTTTAACTGTCATTTTTTAAAAAAATAATTTTTATTTAAAAATATCAGCTAAAAAACTATAAATTTAGATTATAAAAATTAAATTTAAATGATTTAGAGGCAATGAGTGTTCATTTGTATGATGAGCACCGAAAGAAAATAAATTTTTGTGATTATATGTATTATAATTAGGAACTGGTTCAGTAAATGTATTTTATAATTTTAAGTAGCCAGTAGATATTTTTTTTGTGATTATGTATATTATATTTTGAAAAGGAAAAAAAATAAAATAGAAAAAAAGAAGTGGGTTTTTGCAGGACTAAAGTATATTTTTAATTTTTTTAACTTTATATATATTTTAATTTAATATTTTAATTTTTAAAGCATTTTTTTAATTCTTTAATTTTAATATCATTAATTTTAAATTAATTATTATTTATTTTAATTATTATTTATTTAAAAAAATTTTATTAGGATAAAACTAACCGATTAAAAGATTAAAATATACTTTAAAAAATTAAAAAATTATATAAAATTAAAAAATTAAATATAAACTTGAATCGTTTTTATAACTTTTTGGTGACATAGGCAGTCTCATCCTCACCAACCGAGACATCAAAGGGCTGATAAGAGATGAATCTGGACCCAAAGTTTTTGCCTTGTGAATATGTTGGGCTCTTTTATCTATAGACCGGCCCAATTTCTGGCCCATCTCTTGCGCTCTTTCTCCCCTTCCATTTCTCTCATTTACCGGAAGGAACATGAAACAGAGTTTGAATCATTCAGATCCTTCGAATCCACTGCCTCGAGTCTTTCCCTCTTTGCTTTCTCTTTACACTTTAAAAGCGGTGGTGGTGGTTAATGGCGGCCAAGAACAAGTTCGCCTCTGTTAACTATAACCATGTATACGAGAAAACCACCACTACCAGCTCTAGCACTAACCCAGCGAAGATCCAACCTCCTCCATCTTCATCACCCTCTTCGCACTCTGCTGCCTCATATTCTGCAATCTCTTCGCCCAACAAGCCCCATGGTCGTATGTTGGTTCTAACTCGATCCACATCCAAACCTGTCGTCGCTTCGGCACAGCCTTCGTCTTCGCCTCAATCCCAACAACACCAATATCAACAACCTAAGGCAGAACCAACAAGGCCCAGATCAACCCAAGTCCCAACCTGGATCAGACGTGAATGAGATCTCACTTCGCCCATTGGGTCACACCGGAAACGGGTCGTCTCTTTCGTCCACTGTCTTCAATTGTGAGAAAGATGTGGACGTCTCTCCGCTACTGGTATCTCTGAAACCTGGCAAGTTTGTGCCACCACATCTTCGGCCAGGATTTGTGCCAAAAGAGGAAAAGATTAGACCCAATGCGGTTCCTTCTAGGCATCAAGGACATAGCGAATTGCCTGAACGGTATGGGGAGGATGCGCGACCAAAGTCGGGTGGATACGAGGGAATGAGGAGGGGTGGCGTGTTGGATATGGGGATGCCGAGACGGCCGCCATCGAGCGGAAGTCGACCTGGTTCGAGTGGATGGTATGTTCGTCTTAACGATCTTCCTTTCAGCTGTAGAAGGGTCGACAGGACAAGTATCCATTTTAGGATATGATTGAATCTTTTGTGTTTTGTCCGAATTTTAACTTGACGTGCTAGTGGTAGATAGTACCGATATGCAATCGTTTGTTTGGTAAGTGTATTGATCAGGAGTTTGTTTGATTCTTTAAATGTAACCTAGAGCATAGAGGCGAGAACTGTAGAATATTAATGTTTTATTGGCGGTCAACATTTATAAGATAAATGTGCTCGAGAAAAAATGTAGCTTCCGGGAATGCTTATTGATCTATTTGAGCCTATTTAGATGCATAGACTAAGGCAATTCCTGAATCTAACCGTAAATGACGTTTTTGAAGAACAATAAATGAAAATTCTAACATCTGTCAAGACCTAATGTAGTTGTGGGACGAAGAAGAGAACATAGAAGCGTTAGAATCCGAGCGGAAATTGTATTATGATGGAGCTCCTAATTACAGTTGACAGTGCACAATGTGATCTGGTTAGGTTCTATAGGCCTGGAGTTTATTGGTGCTA